ATATAAAAAAAAAAAAAAAAAAAAAAAAAAGAAATATGGTCATATATAGGATTATTTTTAACATTGCTTTATTATTTTTATTTTATTTTACTTTAACTTCTATATTTACTAGTTAGATTACAAAAATAAGGATTCCTTGGTCTTACAATACTTTTACTATATATAATATATTTGTATATGATGTTATCAAACTGTTTTTCTAGGTTTACTCATTATTTATACTAAATGAAGTTTAGATATTAAAAAGCTCTTTTGACAAATTACTATCAATTTTCTTTTTGTAATACATTGTTATTGTTATACTTGCGGACGAATTGTGAAATTATTACCGGAATCACATGACTCGATATAATAAACTCCTAAATTTGCATAAAAAGCTAATATTTTGGATCATGAATCTAAAATATTTTCGATCTATTACTCTATATTAGTAATTACGTCCATCAGTATCGGATGCGATTTCATCACCTCATCTATTAATCTGTCTGCTGAAGTTTCATTAGTTTTAACCAAGTTCATTAAATCTATACTGAATATAAAATTAGTTTACGGTTTACCATTGATCTAACAGAGCTACACAAAGTCAGATACCTTTTGTTTTTACATCTTACATGAAATCTGTCACAGAACAAATTACCAGTGGAAATTACAAAGAATAGCCTGATATAGAGTTAAAAAGTAGAATTTAAAGAATAGATATAATTTCAGGTTGTCTTTAAAATAAAGTCCGTATGTTCTCTTTCATTCATTATTTCTTTATTTTTTATCTTTTAGGTTTATAACATATTATTAAGTCAGCTCAATTACGGTTTAAAAGAGCGGAAATGGATATATCATTCTAATTCTCTATATCACATTCGCAAATGAAATGAAATAGATTATATAAAGTGATTTTCTTTTGCATAATCAATACTGCCTTTACCCCTTTACCCGGGGGTTGACTTATTATTAGAGAAAGTGAAATTTGAAAAAGATTGGCATATTAAGTTTATTATACATAAATTAAGAGAGAATATTTTATGGTTAGATTAATTCAGCCGCCAAAAAAAATTTTGACATGGTACAATGGAATATCAAGCGTGAATAACTATATCCGATATTACTTTGCTGCTTAAATAATAATTTGTATATAGTTTAATATCCAGATGTATACGTACGTGCTTAATGTACGTCGTTTCGGCCGGATAATTTGACGGATATTGGTAATCACTTGGAAATCGGTAGAATAATTGTGACGGCTTATTTTTTACCGAAAATCAGGGTAAAAAAATTCCCGCACCGCAGATTTTATAAATGATTTTCATGATTTCATCATATAATATTTAAATTAATAATACTCATTGTTTATCCAAAAAAGGAAACGATCCTATCAGTCTTTTCTGATCACGCAATTTCTTATAGGATTTATGTCATCTATATGATTACAAATGACGAAAAAAAAATTATAAAAGCAACGTCGAATTTTGAATTCGTTAAAAAAAACATCAAATTTTGAGCTTATTTTTCTTTTTTCTTCAAATAAATAAATTAAATAGAATAATTTTTTCTTTTAATTCTTTAATTAATAATAATTAATATGGCACCAAATTTTAAAGAAACTGATAACAATGCTAATAATTTATACCAAGACAAAGTAAAAGAACTTGGATTTGGTACTAGAGCTATTCATATAGGTCAAGAACCTGATCCTAGTACTGGAGCTGTTATTCCATCAATTTCTCTATCTACCACATATAAACAATCTGCCATAGGTGTCCATAAGGTAAGGTGATATTTTCTTAGTTCTTTCTATTTCGCGTATAAAAGGAAGGAAGGAGTTAGAAATTAAAAATCTTCCGTTTTTCAATTGTATCCCTCATTCTTTTAGGGATATGAATATTCACGATCGAATAATCCAAATCGAAGTGCATTTGAAGAGTCAATCGCATCACTCGAAAAAGGAAAATATGCACTTGCATTTTCATCAGGTAGTGCAGTAACGGCGACAATAGTAACATCAATCGGTACAAATGGACACATAATTTCAGTAGATGATGTTTATGGAGGAACAAATCGATATTTTACTAAAGTAGCAGGAACTCAAGGAATTGAAGCAACATTTGTTAATTTACACGATCCTAAAAATATTGAAGGTGCTTTTAAACATAATACGAAAATTGTATGGATTGAAACTCCAACTAATCCAACATTAAGATTAGTTGATATTAGAGCAGTTGCTAATATAACACATCAACATAATGCGATACTTGTGGTAGATAATACTTTTATGAGTCCATATTTTCAAAATCCACTTGAATTAGGAGCAGATATTGTAGTACATTCCGTTACAAAATACATTAATGGTCATTCTGATGTTGTAATGGGTGTTGCTATAATGAATGATGAGGAAATTTATAACAAAATTAAGTTCTTACAAAATGCCATTGGAGCTATACCTTCATCATTTGATTCTTGGTTAGCAAGTCGTGGATTGAAAACATTACATTTACGTATGAAACAGCATCAAGAAAATGCTATTGCAATTGCTAAATTCTTAGAAAAGAGTGATAAAATTGAACAAATTATTTATCCTGGATTAGAAAGTCATCCACAACATATATTAGCAAAGAAACAGGCAAGAGGATTTGGTGGAATGTTAAGTTTTAGGATTAAGGGTGGTTTTAAGGAAGCAAATGCTTTCTTGCAAAATATTAAAATATTTACTTTAGCTGAATCTTTGGGTGGTGTTGAAAGTTTAGCCGAACATCCTTCTAAAATGACTCACGCTGGTCTAAGTGAAGAACATCGTAACGCTGTTGGTGTCACTGATAATTTAATAAGATTATCCATCGGTATCGAAGATGTTGATGATTTGGTAAGTTATATTAAAAAATTAAAATATAATTAATATAATTTTTTTCTAACGAAATTCACTTTTAATTTTGTAGCTGGAAGATATTCAACAAGCATTAGATATTGCTGTACAAGAGTAATATAATATATAATTTAAATAATTGACTGTAAAATTTTAATAAAATAAAAATAAATAATAAAACAATAATAATTACTATAATACGTTTTATGCTATATTACCATTATACACAGATTCCTTATTAGGAATTTCCATATTATTAAAGGCCGAAAAATTATCCTTATCTGTGCTGACGCATTGGGATTACGTATTACTAAATTTCTGTAAATTTCTGTGAAATTATGTATTTGTAAACTGATTTACACATGAATGACAGGTGGAATTGCGTTCAGATTTTGAATATAAAAAGGAACTAATAATTAGATCGAATTTCTTATTTTTATATTATTATTATTATTATTTTCTTCTTGATAACTAAACATAATGGCTCCTGTTAAATTATATATCTATGATTTATCTCGAGGAATGGCAAGAGCACTTTCAATGGGTTTTACGGGAAGACAAATTGGTAAAATTTTTTTTTTGTAGGAAAAACCCTTAATTTATTTATAAACTCGTTTAATTTATTAAGATTTTTTTTTAAAATTTTTTTAGATGGAATATGGCATACTTCAGTAGTAGTTTACGGTAAAGAATGGTATTTCGGTCTTGGAATACTTAATGATATTCCGGTAAAGTTACAAATTATATAACATTTTTACAATTTTTATTATCTCATTTACCATTAAAATTTTATTCTAATAGGGTGGAACACTTCTTGGACCGCCGTTAGAAATTATTGAAATGGGGGAAACAGAAGTTCCTGAAGATACAATTTTAGAATATATAAATGAAATAAGACCAGACTTTACTCCCGATAAATATCATTTATTGGATAACAATTGTAATACCTTCTCCAATAAGTTTTGTGAATTTTTAACTGGACGTAATATTCCTGATTATATCATAAGTGAGTAATTAATTATTTTTATTGAGGTTTCTATAAAAAGTAAAAAAGTAAAAAAAAGTGAAATAAATACTAAAGAGAAATATTTATTAACAACAGATTTACCCGCCGATTTTTTATCAACTCCAATGGGAAGACAATTTCGTCCTATGCTTGAATCCATGTTTGGACCAAGTAGACACCCTTAAATTGATTATATATAGCATAAAATAGTATTATAGAAATTATAAATCATAGAATAGAATATAAATTATAAAACAATAATGATTTTATTATACGTGAATTGATAAGCCACTTGTACTACATGTAAAAACTTGTATCACACTTAACAATTTACTCTTTTTTTTTTTCCTTCCTAATATAACTCTCAAAGGTTATACTCATTTACAATCACTTATTCGTCCACGTTTTGAAGCTTTATTTTGACTTTTTGTTTTCAAATAAATCGTAAGCTGTATTTCTTGCCAGCTTTTTATTAATTAAAAACTGAAAAATTTTAAAATTTTTGTTATTTTTATATCTCCTATTTTCCGTATAAAAAAGATATATAATTATGGTATTAGGTAAAATAGTTCATTTTGCAGCTGATGCAGTACTCGTCTCTGCTGTATTAGCTGGTATTAAACGATCAACTGGATTATCGTGAGTATACCAAAAAATCATATTCTTTTAGTGAACATTTTAAGAGAAGAAAGACAAAAATATTTTTTTCTTTATTCTGGTTAAATAAAATTTTTCCTTAAAATAAGAATTTTTTTTTTTTTTTTTAGGGTTGCAACACATAAAATTGAAAATCAAGAAATAAAAAGTGCAGTTGTTAAATTTTTAAATGTAGGGGAATGGGTCGTGGATCAAAGTATTTTGATTATTAGTAATTCCTCTTATTTTGAACGTAAACGATAATACAATTAGTTCATTAAGAATTAATTTTTTTTTTTGTTTTTTTACTGCGAATTATAATTTCTTGGAAAATTTCTAATGAATAATGCATCATAAAAAAAACATGATACAAGGGGAATCATTTATATTTAGTGTTGATTTTATTTTGAATACGTAAATATGAAAGGATTGAAAAGTTGAATTTTTGAAGAAGCAAATCGTTTAATTTGATTATAGTTATTATAATTTTATTAAGTTTATTTATACAGTATTTCATATTTTTATAGCACAGTTAAGGAAAAAAAGAAAGCGAGAAAAATAAATTTTTTGTTTTAATAATATATTATTTTAACATTTCAGCAAATACATATATATGTACTTACTATATATATATATATATATTTATTTATTTATTTATTGTATCTAATCTAATTAAAAAATTCTATTTATCACTTGGAGGAGGTAAATCAGTTTTATAAGTATTTTCTTCTAATAACTTCTCTACTTCAATTTTAACTTCTTCTAATTCTTTTTCATTAATAAATAAATGTGTATCATCTAAATCTTCAATTATAATTTGCTTTCTTTCATTTAACTTGTAAATCACTTGCTTAACCGTTGAATCGCTAAGAAGTAAATAAAAAATGATTTTTTTTAGTTGCAAAAAGAATGTAGTTAAAAATGGAAAAATCGAAAAAAAAAATCTACCATTTTATAATGACGCCTAATAAAAAAAATAAAGTTCAAATTAGAAAGAAAAGATCATTTTATTTTATTTTATTTATTTAAATATTACCTTTTAATACTTTAACCATCTCGAAAGTTTAATTCTTTAGTTTTTTAATCTTTGTAAAAAAATATATATATTTATATTATTAAACTTAAATTAGTTGATAAAACATAGGAAATTAACATAATTGACATACTTGTAAAAAAAAATAAAAAGAGAAACACGTAGTTTATAATTTACATCCCCTTACATTTATATCTTATTTATATCTTATTTGTATAATAATATCACGTAATTCAGCCAACTCATGCAACATGATATCGTGTAACATAATCATACATATTCACCATGTTTTTATTATTAAAAAAAAATATTTACTTTTCTATTCCTCCTTTCCATTAATCCTTCGAATATCATCTTTGATAGTTTCAATTTCTTTAGTAATATTCAAGTACTCTTGTACAATTTGTTCAAATTCATCTCCAATACTTTGATATTCCATTAATTTATTATTCAATCTTTTTAATATTGTACTCTTCTCATTTTCTTCTTCAACCAAATTCTTTTTAATTACATTCAAAGATTCGACAATTTGTTTATCATAAATATTCGTCAATGCTTGTAATCTAAGTACCTTTAATTTTAATAATATAGATTTAACAAGATCACTAAAATAATCATTAAAAATTCTATTTTTTTCAAATTCGTGACGAAACTTAAATTCTTCTGTTAAATTCCATAGTTTTGCTAATATTTCTTTCATAACCTACAAGGAAATTTTTTAAAAAAAAGAAAGTTAAATTTATTTTTCAAAGTGTAAAAATAATAATACTCTCAAAATCTTACATTTAGATAATCTGTAATACGTTCTCCTAATCGAATTTGATTTTTTACGATATTAATTTTAGATATTCGTAATTCTTCAAGTTTATGATTTAATATCTTATCCAATTGAGATGCTTTAGCTGCCAACAACTTTGGATTCGTATTCGTTACTAAACAAATATAGGAAAAAAAAATAATCGGTTTATTTTTCAATTCTCGCATACTTTATAAAAAAAATTTATGAAAAAGGTGTACCTTCCACTGTATAATAAAATTTCGCAATATCTTCACATTGCCTTGTTAGTTTACTTTCAACAGAATTTAAAATAAACTCTTTAGAATTACTTTTACTTAAATATTCTAATTCATTCTCTATACGTTTAATTAATTCTACTTCTGTTAATCCTAATAAGGTCGTCGTTACATTTTCTGTTTCTACTTTTTCGACAGAATCAAATATGTAATTATTTTTATCTAATGATAAATCTGTTGGATGAAAGTTCAAATATTGTTTTGACTCTGCAAAAGATAATACTTCATCTAAACTTTCTACTATCTTTATCAACAACAAACGCGTTAATATATATAATATCTTCTTTTTAAAAGTATATATATAAGAACTTTACCTTTTTGTTTTCTTTATAATTAATTTTATTTTTCAAATCATTTTGTAAAGATAATTGTTGTAATACATTATATAAGGTCAAATTCTCTAAATATTCTGTTCTTTCTTTAATAAACTCTTTCTACATACAAGGAAGAGAAAATATTGTGTCAGCTTCCTCATTTTTTACTTTACTTGTACACTTTATATACCTGATCAATTTCTTTTTTTAATGCTTTTGTGGTTCCATCAGGTGCCAAATATTGTGTCGTTAATTGTTTATATAATTCCGCAAAATTTGGATTAGCCGTTAATAAATTTTGATTTATTTTATCAGACATTATTGTTTTTCGTACTGTAAGAAAAACAAAAGCTCTATATATAGGTGTTGATGCTTAGTTTAAACTCATGATAAATTGCTTAATTTAGTTATTGTGGGAAAGTGTCGATTAATTGGTGACATCATATACGTTATTAACAATTAATTGTGAATTTCTCTATTTATTATCAAAAATTTTCAAAATTTGACAAGTTTGCCGTTTTCTAAATTATTATTATTTTTTTTTTTATTGGTTTGATTTACTCTGATAAAAGTAATTGAGATTTCTTATTTTATTGCAAAGTGTTTTGATATCAGGTCTTTTTGATGGATCAGCATCCCACATTGTTTTTTTTTTTTTTTTTTTTTGATTTCTCAAATTATTTATAATACAAATATAAAAACATTTTCTTAATAATATTATAAAATAAATGTTACTGTGTTGTTATCGTTCTTTTTTGATTTTATTCATCAACAAAGGCATCGTAAGTGTAAGCGGACGATTGATCTTCTTCACCATGTACAACTTGGTCTTGTTGATGATGTTGATTATGTTCTTCATCGTCTCCAACAAAAGCTGCAGCTGCAGCTGATGATGAAGATTCTCCTTCTAAATTGGTATCTGACATGGCTGACGTCGTCATTGATATTTCATTATCATTATCCAATCTTTCTATGGCAGTTTTTACTACATGCATCATTTTTGGATCTAAATTAAATGTTGTTGTAAAATTTTGTAAAGCTTTCACTTTATCGCCCATTGCTTTGTATATTTTTCCCATCAGAAAATATATTTTAGGTTCTTCTGGCACAATCTCCTTAAGTCTTCTAAGTTCAATAAGTGCACTCTATTAAAAAAAATATAAATAATTATTTATTATATATACATTGTATTTTAGAAAAAATGAACCAATTGAAATATACCTCGTAATAACGATCTTTATACAATGATTTCGCTTTTTTGAATATAGCTAAAGGTGTCTGTGGTGTGACTAGACAAGCACGAACATAAAGTTGATGCGCATCATCATTCCTGCCCATTTTTTCATATACCTATCAAATTATAATTGTTAAATCAACGTAAATGCCGTTAACTTAAACGAAATATTATTACTTACCTTTCCTAAACAACACATTAGAACGGCATGATTTGGATTAATTTCCATCGCTAACTTATAATGAATTTCTGCTTGATCTTTTTTATCACAAGTCATATAATAATTTGCAAGTCCATATCTATAATTAATATTATGTTTATTAATTAATTCTATCTTATTGTCAAAAATTTTCATACTCAACCACTTACAGAGCGTTATAATGACGTTTATTTGTATTCAAGGCGTTTCTAAAGTGCTCTTGAGCCTTTTCAAAATTCCCATTAGCCATACTCTCATGACCAGATAAGGTATGTGCATACGTAAATTTTGGATCTAATTGTATAGCTCTTTGGAAACATTTCAAAGCTAGATCATGTTCTTGCTGTCTACTGAAACAATTACCAACAGCACACCATGCTTGCGGTGAAAGTCGTTCAAATTCGACTAATTCATGTGCAAGTGTACTTAATACTGTATCCTTACGTAAATGCCATAATGTAGTAGAAAATATTTCCATATCTTCTAAACGATACGGTTCTAATTGACGTGCCTTTTGAAAAAATCGCTCGGCCTATTTAAGTATCAAGATTAGGATATATAAGATTAAAATATAAACATTGACTATTTTAACTTCAATGTTAAGGTTCTTACCATAGGATAATCAACCATTTCAAAATATGCTTTCCCTATATGACTTTGAACCCAACCCGTATAATATTGTGACTTGGGAAGGTTTGTAAGAGCATCTATAGCTTTCGCACATTCATATTGGTTTAGGTACGCATAACCTTTAGCTATCTTCTGTAACAATTCCAAAACTTCATGACGATTTGACTTCCAATCAGTATCTTCCATTTTTTCATAATTATTATCAGGATCTAGCGTAGTTTTTTGCAAAGCTTCTGTCTAAATAATAGAAATTATTCTAAAATTAATGAAGGTGAATAAATTATTAAATCAAATAAAGAAAAACTTTTGCTTAATAATACCACTTCATTTTCTACATTTACAAGTGATCTTACATCTTTCCCTAGCCGATAACATTTATTTTCATCATCAAGACCCATTAAACTTACGTCTTCATTCCCAATACGAGATCGTTTCTTTTCCCTATTATCTGATGCAGGTGTCGAAGTTAACGGTTGCGCAGCATGCTAGTATTAAATATATGTCGATGTAATTACTTGATTTATTATGAGGAAAATTTATATGAGATCTCACAACAAAAGTTTAATAATCATTAAAAGAAATACAGACACCAACCCTTATCATAGAAGAAGGTCGAGTTCGTCGAGTAGGGTCAGGAGTAATCTTATCGCCATTATGTGTCTAATATTCTCAATGAGACGCGAAAAAATTATATTAGAATTATTCGTAAATTATATTCATTATGCAAAATAAATGGATAACATGTAAAAGAAATTTCTTTTGTACCGGTTTTGACATAAACACTTGTGAGTTGTATAATTTATCAGAACATGGACTTCTGTTATTTGTGAATTTTTCAGTCTTTGGCTGGAATATTTCATCAATGTCTAATTGAGTTGATTTACCTGTAATTCATAATTGATAAAAAGTTAGGTTCATTCTTTAATGTTTTAATTATATTTCGTTTAAATCTAGTTAAACATACCCATTTGACATAAATTTTCAAATGCTTCCCACATAAATGGGTTTGTCTTTATGCATTGAACGTAATATTGGGCAGCTTCGTCAGGACGACGCGCATTTTTACACAAAGTTCCCAATAAACATAATACAGAAGCTAAATCTGGTGTTTGATTAAGTTTTGTTGTAGAATTGAATGAATCTAATTATCAATTATAAAACCGAAATAAGTAAAGTTTGTGTTAAAATTCAAAAGAATCTATACACATGTTTTTACCCACCCAAAGGATTTCTTGTTTCTAAATTGCTTATAATTGTCAGTAGTTTTTCCTTGCCTTCCTCAGCTTTATCCAAATCCAGACAACATTTTGCAAACAAATATTTGCATTTAATCGAATGGGCACTATTCAGAAGGTTATATGCAGCTTTTCGTTGACCGCTTCGATAATAACAAGTTGCCAGTAAAAAGCGCGAATTCTCATTAGTTGTATCCTGTGCATATAATCTTTCCGCGAGAAAAGTTGCGTTCTTATACAAGTAATTTTCCAAAGAATTACATATCATGTTCTCCAGCGGCATAAATGAAAGGTGATTTATATTATCTGCCGTCATATTGAAGAAATAATACTTTTAAACAAATTAATAAAATTAATTAGCGATAAAGCTAAAGGCGATCGCAAAGTTTAAAACGAAAATTACTGCAAATATGTGAAGTTTTTAGAAAACTTTTTATATATCAAAAGTCACGACTCACGACATAACCTGGTGTTAATGGGATGATTGATTGGCTAGACTTACTACCTCACTTTCTCACAATGCAGGTCTTTATTGGCTGATCGGTGGATAAAAACATGATTGAGTATCACTGATTGATCAAATTGCAGATTAGATACAAATACTGCAGTAATTTTTTTAAAAATTTTACATTTTGTACAAAAAGTTACAAGAACTATGTATTCATGTATATATTACTATCTGCCAAAATAAACTTTACAAATGTCATAATTTAACAAACAATAATAAAAATATGTCTATACATAAATAAAAAGTCGAAACAAATTTTAAAAAAGAAAAATAACCATATGGGATAATACTTCAAATTATCCGGTTTTTGCAGTTGCACACGTTTGTTTATGTCCATTTTTCCAGTCTTTCTTTTGACATTCTTTAGAGCAGTAATTTACATTAGAGCATCCAGCACAAATCAACAGTTTATATTTCTTTTCTGCATCTAGCTTTTCATTTAAGTCTTTTCGTGTTTGACTACCACAACTGTGACATTTTTTTTCTGATTGCTGTTGTTCACCATTAGGATGTGAAGTAAGAAACTTTTGCAGGATTGCTAATTTTTCGGCTTCTTTCTTTGAATCTTTTTCAACTTTGGTAGTTTCTTTGCCGCTCTTTTGTTCGAAGAGCGCCATCGCATTACGTTTAACATCGGATATTTCAGGAATGAATGCAATACGTTTAGCATCGATCATATCAGGAGTGTGCCCATAAAGAAATTCGTATCTCTCTTCCGCTTCTTTAGCTTTTTGGTAATAATTGTATGCTTGTTGGTAGCGCAAATTTTGTGTAACTTGATTCCGATTTCCCGTTGTTAAACTAGTTGCATTTTGGCAAGTAAGAGCAGCCAAAGCATAAAGAGCGTGTGAATAAGAAGCTGAATCTTTACTAGCCTTCTCAATATAAGTTTTGAAATTACGAGCAGCTTCTAAACGATCTAGACGTTCACCCTGTGACATGAATACAAAACCTTGAATGCAATAAGCATCGACAAAATTGGGATCAAGTAATAATAAACGTTCAAGATCTTTGATACAATTTTTGACGTCTTCAGTGGTGAGGTAACACAAGGCGCGAAGATGGTAAAGACGAGGATGAAGTTTTGGTTCAAGTTGGCTGAGGGCTATGGTCAGAGTCTGAATGCAAAATGGATACTGTTTACCATTGAAGAGGAGCCAGATGACCAGTATAAGAGACCTTTCAAAATAATTATTTTTTTCCAAGTGATTTGAAAGTTGTGAATTATCATAAATATTTAAAATGAATTAAATAATAACTTTTTATATAACACCTTCGTTGTTATAACTTACTCTCTTGTGAGATGATCAGGATCGTTTTGATCGTCTTGAGCTGAATGATCTTTTTTTGCTTTTATCACTTCACTAAGTTTTGCATCATTTATTTCCAATTCAATCGCGTTCTTTTCACTTTCTGTTCCTTCATAACTTAATTTAATAAGTTTCTCATATTGTTGAGCAAGTGACATAATTCGTGGTGACATTTCGGTGGCATTGTCATCAATTAAAAAAGCTTCAACAAGATATTTGGTAGCCTCTAAAATTTGTTGTCCATGAGCTTTTAGAGTTTCGTCATCAGAGTCTTCAGGAACTTTAGATGCGATTTCAAATCCCTTTATAAATAACTCCCTGGCTTTGAAATACTTTAATTATATCGGATCAAACAATTAATAAATTATAAGATTAAATTACGCGATTAAAATTAATTCAAATAAATAATGCTTTTAAGAATACCTCTTTAACTTCGGGGTTATCGGTCTCTTTTCTCTTGTTGCGTTGTTCCAACAAATCATATTCTTGAAACCTAACAGGCTTATCCACCGTATCTTCAACGTGGTTTGCGTGACCATGGTCGTGATGATCATGGTCGTGATCGTGTCCATGAGCATGGTCATGCTCGTAATGGGAATGGTGGTGGTCGTGGTCGTGGTCGTGGTCGTGGTCGTGGTCGTGATTGTGGTCGTGGTGGCTGTGGTCGTGTTCGTGGTCGTGTTCGTGGTCATGTTCATGGCTATTTGGAATTTTCTGATGCGTGTGGTCCTGAGTTTTTACTGGTTTTATCATAACTAATTCACAACTTTTGTAAAGAAAGTGGCTCGAGTACTATAGTTGGTCTAAGACCTGAAAAATAAGGATTTTTGGAAATTGTATCTCCAACTGAACATTTTGTACAACAAACAATTTTGACTTTTTTAGTTTTTATCTTTATAACTACAATGAGAATCAGATGTGAATGAAAAAATATTTGTTTTTATCAAATTTAGAAATTTAAAAGCAAAATTTCACTTTCATATACAATATACTAATTTAGACGATACTATGAAGTTAATTAAGAAAGGAATTGAAAGAGATCGCTCGGTAAAGAATTATCAATTAGCTTACTATGTTTAAAATAATTCTTATTATTAAATAATAATTGCCATACTATTAGGGCTTTGTAATTCTTTACCCTGAAGAGCTTGAAGATATGTGGCATGTTTATAACCTTATTTCCATAGGTGACCAACTTAAAGCTACGACAATTCGGTAAATATTTTTCTTTATCTATTTTTTTTTCTATTTCTGTAATTAATTCTATATGTTCAGACGAGTACAGAATGAGAGCTCTACTGGCACAGTAGAATCACAACGTGTTAGATTGACATTAACGATAACTGTAGAAAATATCGATTTCGATCCGCAAGGGGGTCTATTGAGGATTAGAGGAAGGATCATCTCCGAGAATAAATATGTGAAGGTGTGTGTCGTATGTTGATAGTTTCTATACATATATATTTTTAATAAGTATATTATTCTAGATGGGTACATATCATACAATCGAACTTGAATTGAATAGAAACTTCACACTTCTAAAACCAGAATGGGATATAATAGCACTCGAACGTGTGAATGAAGCATGCGACGTTACGAAACAAGCGGATGTCGCCGCTGTTGTCTTACAGGAAGGTTAGTATATTTCCTTAGAAGTAATTTTCTAGTTCAATATTGATGATTCGTGATTTTTAGGCCTAGCAAACGTTTGTTTGGTTACGCAAAATATGACAATTGTTAGACAACGAATTGAACATCCTATTCCTCGAAAAAGGAAGGGTTCCGTAACAAATTATGAAAAGGTATCTATTTATTTAGACAAAATATGTAAACGTTCTTTTTATATTTACATTTTTTTTTATCTATGTATTTAGGGATTGCAAAAATTTTTTGATCAAGTCATGCAATCTATTTTGCGTCATATTAATTTTGAAATTGTAAAGGTCGTTATTTTGGCTAGTCCTGGTTTCGTTAAGGTAGATTAAGAAAGAGTTTTAATTGATTACATTATAATAAACTAAAAGACAATTAACTTTTATTGAAAAAGGATCAGTGCTTTGAATATATCTTTGCCGAGGCAACGGTAATATCTTTCAATCCATGCAACAGTCCATGCAACAAATTCAAGCACAAAATTTAAAATCACTATGTTGCCTCTCTCTTATTAATATGTTTATAGAAACAAGATATCAGACAATTTATTGAGAATAAATCAAAGTTCGTTCTTATTCACTGTTCTTCCGGTCATAAACATGCATTACAAGAAGTATTACAAGACCCTTCCATACAGAAACAGCTCTCTGATACAAAGTATTCACAGGAGGTTTTAACACTTGATCAGTTTTTCAAAATGCTAAATGATGAACCTGATAGAGCTTATTATGGATGGGACCATGTAAGAAAAGCTGGTGAGAGAGGTGCTATCAGAACTTTGTTATTATCAGACGAGTTGTTCAGGTAATATATTAACTTATTTCATATATTTTGATCTTTTAACAAAAATAATGATAATTTATAGGTCTGCGGATATCTCTACCCGTAAGAAATATATTGAACTTGTTGAATCGGTTCGTGCCATTGGTGGCAAAGTGCTGATTTTTTCAAGTTTACATGTTTCGGGAGAACGTAAGCTATTAGGCTTTCTTCGGAAAAAATTTCGAATTGTATTAAATTTATTCAAAGGCGCCAAATTGTCTTTTTTTTTTTAATAGAACTAAATCAACTTACTGGAGTTGCAGCAATATTAAACTTCCCTTTACCAGAAATTGAAGAGGAAGAAGAGGAAGAGAATGAACAAGAAACCGTAGTTGAAACGACATAATTATCTTTTGACCATTGTAACTTGAAGAATTACAATATTAATGAACAAATATTTTGAGAGAACTCCAAAATGAAGGCTTTCTTCTTACAATATTCCAGTAAGTTATATATCTTTGAACCTTAATAATTTTCTTTATATAGAAGAATGTTATCAATTTATATGAGCATTAAATATTACAGAATGTGGTACTTACGGCAAGTGATAAGACAATTATTACAAATCAACAAAAAATGTGAACCATCATTTTTTAATCATTGTAATCATTATAATCTTTGTATAATTATTTATAGTTGATTAGTTAAATAATAAATATATATATACACATATAATAAAATTGCATTCTTTCTTCTTTCAGATAAACTTAATGAGTATAATACAAAAAAGAAAACATGAAAAATAAAGTAAAAAATAATTTTTTAAAAATTTCACTAGTGTAATAAAAACTAGTTTTAAGAAAAAATTGTCAAAAAAAGGTATTTTGTAAAGAAATTAAAAGAAACAAAAAGATAATTATAATATTATTATAAGTATAATACAAGAATTTTTTTTTTTAGTTTTTAAACTTATAAATATTTGCAAAAACAACTATAGTATAAAATTTATAAATGAAAAATTACAAAAAAACTAAAAAAATATTTCATTTTTTATAAACCCTTAAATTATATAAACTTAATTTTATAGTTTTCAATAATATAAAAATTTCATTAATAACCTATTAACCTGAAATTTGTTTTTTTTTTCAAAAATTTTATATGTAAAATTTTTTTTAATTTTTAAAAAATTTTCTTTTAAAACTTAACAAAAACTGATCTGACTAAAATACATATTACTTTATTATAAAAAAATAATTTTTAGAAATATCTGATATTTACTATATAATAATTAACTGTAATATTTAATATAAATAGTTTTTATCCAGAGCAAATAAAGATAAAGTCTATTTTATCTGTATATACTATATCATATTACTGAAATTTGTATTACATTAATAAATAAAAAAAAATATAAACAAGTTAATAATAGAGATTACAATATAAAATTTTATTGCTTTAGACCTATAATAGTTTTTGTTTCCTAGTATATTATATTATATGCAAAAATTCAGTTTAATAAATTTGGCATATTTTATTTTATCAATCTTATCCATCTTTTTTTCAATTGACTTAAAATCCACTCACTATACAGTTTACCTTTTCTATAGTAAATTTTGATATAATAAATTGTGTGATGCTTAACCAATAAAATATGTTAGTTTTTCCTTACTATAACAAAGTAACCAATCAAATTCTTCAAATTTTTCATTAACTTGCTATAACAAATTTAAAGGGCTGTATAAAAATTCTTAAAATATATAATCTTTTGATTATTTACTAAATAAACTTTTTTAATAATAAACAATTTTTTTTCATGTTTTAAAATAACAATAAAAAAATATAAAAAGATGTCTTATAATATATTATTTTCTTTTTTAATTTTATAAACTAACTATGGTTTATTTATTTATTGAAAAAAGGTCTAAAATTTGTATTCTTTTTGAAAAAAGTTATTCTTTCTGATATAATTGGGGTCTTTGCAATAGAAAGGTACAAAACTCAAAAAATATCAAAAATTAAATTAATATTAAATTTGCATTTATTTCAGTAAAAAAAAACATAATTAGCATATAAAGTAAAATTTTACAATCAAATGTTATAAGAATCAAGCAGCATAAAGACTTTTAATAGACTGAAATAAGTAAAAAGTTTTGCAATATACAGTCAGTTCTTGTTATAGCGAATTTTGATATAACGAATTATTTGGTATAACAAATCTTTAGTGTTGTACCAATTTTAACATATAAAAAAAAATTTACTATAACGAATATTACTAATTAAATGCTATATACCGTTTAATAAAATAAGTCTATAAACTGTACATAATAAAATAACTCTTTTTATACTGAATTTCTTTTTATAACGACCTTTTTTTAATACAACGAAGATATTTTGTGTAATATACGTTATACATAATATAAGAAATCATAATATACCACAATATACCAAAGTTTCATATGTTATACCAGATTTTCCCATTATATCGAAATTTGCTATATTTTATTAACGAATTTTCTTATAACGAAGGCCTGATTGACTAAACCACCAACTTCGTTATATCGAGAGCCGACTGTATTACAACAAAGAAATGTACTAATACAATAGCTATTAAAAAAAAGCAAATATAAATCAATAAAAGTATAGCGAAAAGAAAGGGCTTTTTATATACTTTTTAGTATTTCTTTTTTATATTTTCATTTTTAAATTTACAATAATATTCTTACTTTCAATTGATATATAATTATAATTTTTATATTTTAGACACTTTACTAAATAACTATAAGAAAATAGAATTAATTGATTAATAATTATTTTTATGAAATAATAAAAGGTCTAAAATTTTTCAATAAACAATTTTTAGTTGGGTTTAATTTTATAAATTATTTATTTAAACAGTTTTATAAATTAAACTTTATTGATTATTAATTATAATATAACATAAAGTTAAGTAATTGAGCTTCTTATAATAAAAGTTAATAAATTTTAGCAAATGAAATAAAAAAGATTTGGCTAAATTCACAGAATATTTAACAATCATTAATCACTGGAAGTGAGCTGTTGTTAGATAAAATAATAGGTTTAGTATCTGAAAATATAATAATATCAAGTTTGATGTTTGATTTACTAATTGAATATTATATAATAATATATAAAAAACTTGAGTTTTAAAAGCTATTTGAAGAAAAATATAATGATTCAAAAGTTATTTTATCAGTTTAGTAAATGCAAATTAGTTTAAAAATATTTGGATTAAATATATTAGCTTATTATATAAAAAGTTTATATATCTTAGCTAAATTTATAATATAAAATAATAGTAATGTTAATTGTTAACTAAAATAAGTATAGTTCTTTTTTTCTTATAAGATTAATTTATTAAATAAAAAATTATATTTTTCAATAAAAGTATATATAAACAATCTAAATATATAGTTAATAAAAATAACTAATAAATATTTTACTGAAAAGTCAAAAAATAGCAAGAAACAGCTTTTCAACATACTTAGTATAAGATTTTTACTAAAGAAATTAAAGAATTTTAGCAAATTGAAGAAATGTTAAAATAATAAAACTTTGTCAAAACTATATAAAGGTCTTATTAAAAAATTGCAAAACTTAACAAAACTTATTATAAATACTAAAATTGTTAAAATTTTACTAAAATTACAAAAAAGTTATAGTAAAATTTTGGAAAAACTAATTGTAAAATTTTGGAGAAGTTTTGGCAAATAATTTTAATTTAGTATACAGTCGACTCTGGTTATAACGAACCTGTTTGTACCGAAACCTCGTTATACCGAATCATAATTTCCAGAACCGATTTTTTATAAATAATTTCACTGGATATAATGAACTTTTATAATAAAACACTATATAACGCATCCGAACTAAACTTAACCAGCCTCTATATATCAGCTATATAATAACTTTATATTTTCTATAACGAACGGTCATGTGATTATATAGTAGTCCAGGCCAATTTTATAGTGCTGGCCAGAATTACTAGTAATTTTTTCGAAAATTTATGTTAAAAGAAATTATAATTTTGGCCAGCATTATAAATTTGGCCTAAATTTCCTATAAAGAAAACTAGTTCGGTATATTATATAACGAATTCACTATATACCGAAGTAAACCTCCTGGAACGAAGGGTTCGTTATATCCAGAGTTGACTGTAATAGACTATACATGCTGCCCAAATTATTTTAGGATGTCATAATAATAATTTGGGATGCCATAATTTATTCAGTTTATATATAATTTATTATGTAAAGTGCCAAAATAATTTGAGATGCCATAATTGAATTTGGGATTTTACTTATAATTACGGCAGCCCAAAATAATTTGGATGGCATGTATATAATAGACTTTTTTTACAAGCAGATGTGCAGTATATCCTACTAGAAATCTTTTTATAAAAACAGTAGTAGCCACTAATGTTAAACTTTTCTTTTTTTTATTTATTCTCATAAAGATTGATATTTAATTATAGTAAAAAGTTTATATAATTATAAACATTAACCTTTAAAATATCCTATTCAATCAGCAAATATTTTTAATAAGCTTAATACTGAACTCTTCTAATTAATGCTAAAAATGAAATAATTTAATATCTTTGAAATACTATTAAAGTTTTTTAAAAAACAAATTTTAATAATTATAATTTATTAAAACTTTCTAAAAAGATCTAAATCAATAATTTCAACTAATAGATAATGTAACTGATATAAACTTTATATTGAATTAAAATTTTTACTTTTATTTTTATTTTTATTAATAGATATCAATTAAAAATCTAATATGATGCAATTTTAAGCAAAATATTACATAAAAAATCACAAATTAAGATAATACTACTAAACTACTATTGCTAAATAATTCTAAAAAAAAGGTCTAATGTGAAGAATACGTGCAACAAAGCAAAAATCTTTATAGCACAAAAACTCAAAAAAATCACTACCACTAACATGTTCTAGGTAAAATATAGCCCATATTTATAGATTAACTAAAACTGAAACTGCTAGCTTTTGCTAGTTAGTAAATACCTCAGCATAGCAGATATCTTTACTTTATCACAATTTTATCGATCATTTGTTGATCATTTATTTAATTTTATCACTTCGTTATAATTACTTCAGTTGAAAATCCTATATAATAATAATTTTACAGACAAATTTAACATTCATTTAAATTTACTGCATACTAAATTTACCAAAAAAAATTCTTTAACCAGTTAATAAATTTTTACAAATTTTGTCTATATGTGTATTTTAATAATATTCATAAACATTTGCTCAATGATAACTTTTTGATTACCTAAAATTCTACATGATTATTTTGGCCATTGATTCTTGAATACCTAAATAATATATTTTGAAAATTTCAAGTTTTGCCCATAAATCTGTAGCTTCGCCCGAAGCTCCAAAGTCAAATTAGCAGATGATTGGCAAATATAGGCAAATATCAAATTATTGAAAATTTCAGTTTAAGGTTAACTTTGACAATATAATTTTTTTTATTTTTCATAAATTATACTACTAAAAAGACATTAGTATAGTTTGGCTAAGCATTTTATGGTTTTAACCATAGCTTCAAAATTAATGTAACATGATATATTATATAATTGACAAATGATCGGCAAAGTGATAAAAGCATGTCCGCTATGCTAAATACTTCCTATACTAAATAATCAATAAAAACAAATTCAAATTTTTTAGTATTATGCAATTTCTAAAAAAACACCCATTTTATTTTGAA